CCTTGCAGCCACTTTTAATATGCATTTGTGTACAGTCTGTGTGTATGTGTGTGTGTGTGTGTGACTGTGTTTGTGTGTCAGTGTAAAGTGTGAGAGAAGAAAAAACGTGAAAAAGGCAACAATAAATAAGTGACAGTCCATACAAAAAAACAGGGAACCCCGAGATCCTGGTGCAGCTTGAGGAGTGACGCAGATCCTGGGGCCATGCACACAGCACAAAGCCGAAGGTGGCAGCAGCTGCAGGTTTGGGTACTAGGTACCCACTTTCTCCCCTCTCCTGCAACCAGGTCCTCCCATATTTGCTCAATCACTCTTGGAACTGTGTGATGCGTCCAGGTTGACTACTTGCAGCTCTGTCAAGTTGGCACTGCTGCTAGACTGCTGGCCAATGACGGCCATCTGCAGAGAAGGAGAAGAACAAAATCAGACTCTGAGCAAAGAAGTCATCATAGGTCCCTGCATGCCAAAGAGGCAAGAAAACTGTATTTACTTAAAGGTATCTTAAAAGACAGCTTCTCAGGGCATCTTCTCTGGGTTGGCTCCAGAGACTAAAAACAGTGCAACAGAATGAAGAAAAGCCAAGAACAGTACATAATAGAACAAGGCATTTAGTTCCTCAACATCTTGAATATAAACTTTAAAAAAAAAAAGCAATGCCAGTGGTATACTAGGAACAAATGAAGGACAAGAAAAAGAAAGGAGTCTTGAGGTCTTTACTGAAAGGCTTCAGCAACAGAGTTTGGTGGACTTTAATGGGTAGTGTCTTTACTTAAACACACACCCACACACGTGCCAGAGCATGGGCTCTCCCTTACGCTCTCCAGTTTTATTTATTCTCAGAGGCAGGCTGGCCAGCCAAAAGGGGCTCCATTGCTAGCCTTTAATAGTTCAAGCAGTCTAGTTTATGTGAACATGATAATTTGCATAATTTGGCTTCAAACTGGCAGGAGCCGGCAAAGTGCAGCCTGTGAGGGGGGCAAACGGACCCACAAATTTTGCAGCTCCATAGAGTCCCTAAAAATTCTAAATACCTTAATACTGTTAAGATCAAAAAAACCCAACCTGTTTTGGTCAGAAAGTGGTCTCCAGGAGCACCAGTTTTCTCTTCCTGTGCCTTGCAGGATTCTTCAAGACTACTAGGCTCTGCTCAAAGTCCAGCACTTCCTTTTTTTTTTTAAAATGGCCATTTAAGTGCAGCGGTGTGTATGAAAATTTGAATTTGGCCCCCCAAATCCTCAGAACTTGCCAATAGTTTGAAATCAGATGTGGGCAAAGTGTGTGCTCTTCATTTCTCCTTCTCACCACAAAGACTCATCCTTAGATTTCAAAGGAGATTTCAAATCTTTCATGGTTGATGTTGATTACTCCATCTGTTGTTATTGTTGAACATTTTCTGTTATCCTAGCTCACCTGAATATTTTTCTTTTTCTCATAATTTCCTAGGCTCTCCTTTATCAACAAAACAATTATTAAATAAAATTACAGATGGGAGGGAAGGAGGGAGGGAGGAAGGAAGGAAGACAAGAAACAGATTTGGAAGCTAGGCTACAACTGAAAAAAAATTATAACCAACTTGATAGCACAATCCTAAGCATTTTACACAGAAGCATACATTATGAAATATAAATGGGCATACTCCCTTGTGAGAATGCTTAGAACTCGCATTGCGAAGATCGGTAAGCATTTCGCTTACCAATCTTCGCATTGCGGCGCCGGGAAATCAGCTGTTCAGCGGCTTCAAAATGGCCGCCGCAACCATTTTCGCACCCTGCCCTCGCTTACTGAGGGTGCGAAAATGGCGGCGCTATGAGGAAACTTCGCTTAACGGTGAGTACAGAAGCCATTGGAACGCATTAAACTAAGTTTAATGCGTCCCAATGGCATTTTGCGTCCCGTTTAGCAATGTTTCCTCATAGCGAGGTTAATCTGGAACAGATTAACCTCGCTATGCGGGGCACCACTGTATAACCAACTTGATAGCACAATCCTAAGCATTTTACTCAGAAGCATATATGGGCATACTCCCTTGTGAGAATGCTTAGGATTGGAGCTTCACTCTTTTGGGGGCAAACCTTAGGTCCAGAGAAATGGCAGGAAGTGAGAGGCTTGTATAGTTTACCTACCTGGTGTAGCTGGACAGCAGAGACTGGGATTTGAACTGTTCCTGATGGTGCTGTAAGGAACACCTGAGGAACTCCACCTGCCAGACCGAAAATCACAAGGCAGGCTGCTTAGCCATGATCCACAGTAAGCAACATTTCCTTTTCAAAGTCACAAAATGATTCAGATATAATCAGAATTGTGAAACAAAACAAAACAAAACCAGGCTCCATAAAGTGGCTCTCTGACTAAAATTGATCACTTTGCTAAAAGCAATCAATGATCTCTTAAACTAAACATGTCATTTTTTAATAAAAGGACAGACCTGATGAAATGAAGTGTGTCCAAAAGAAACATCCCAGCTTGGAAAAGTTAAACGGGTTAATAGTTATAGTCTATTTTCCAAGTTCTACATGGCAGTTCATTTACACACCAATCATCTCTAATGTGCTGTCATTCAGATGGGCAACTCTATGGTGGCAGCGGGATTATGGGAGCTGCAGTCTAACAAATCTGAGCTTAGTCCCCCAAACCCTCAGACAGGCTAGCATCTACATTTGATTAAGTTTATATTAAAATACTAAAATATGTAAAATGCATAAGTAGCTCTCGTACTCCATTTATGACTACCCTTACTAGCTCTGCATGTTGTTCGCTACAGACATTCCTCTACTGTGCTGCCTGAAAGGCTTTCTAACGGAAGGTGCCAGGAAATGGCTCTGGCAGCTGCTGCATGCAACCCTCGCGTACCATCACTGAGCTACGAATAAGAGGCATGTGGTTGCTCTCATTCACCATTCTCACAGCTTCCTCTTATCCTCTCTGCTTTCATGTCCACCCATAATGAAGCCTAATACACATAACTTAAGTCATTACATGTTCTTTATTTGTTTAACCACTATCTCAATTGCATTCCTCTTTCCTGCTGTGTTCAGTTTTAAGGCTGTATCCCATGGTGGGTTGCTCTAGCACAGTGGAGGCAAACCTTTTTCATCTCGAGTGCCCAAAATGAGGGGGTGGGAAAGAAACCAGTGGCTGCCGTGCCGCCTGGAAGACCAGAACTGGAACAGGAAGTGGCAGTTTCAGGGGGAATCATGGGGACAGACAGGAAATTAAAGGGGGAATCATGGGGACAGACAGGAAGTTAAAGGACCCAGAACAGGAAGAGAAAGGGGGAATCCCAGCTGCAGCCACTTCTAAAGGTTTGTTCCCACAAGGGAGGGTGGGTGGACCCCTTACTCGCATGCCAGAAGGGCTTCGCATGCCAGATGTGGCACGCGTGCCATAGCCATCACTGCTCTAGCAGAAGTAACTTGTGCAAAGTGAAGCATTTGATTTCTTTCAGCTCTCCTGCACTGCAAACCTCCCCCTGACACCCCCTGTAAAAAGTTGTGTGATGTCTGGGGGCAGCCTTTAGAAAACTGTGGGATGTTGCATGAGGGCTGCAGTAAGAAGAAAGTTTTTTAAAACTTTTGGGTTGATCAGTGCACGATGGGAGTGCTTACATATACAACCCCCAGGATATAGACTTCTCAGGACAGAAACCAGTCCCCTTGTCCTTATAAAGCACAATTCACACTGACTGCACTTATCTACTCTCCCCAAAACACCCAATAAGAAACAATTGGTAAAATGAACATTGTTTTGTCCTGTCAGAAGCATCATCGTATCTACGATACGATGGGCCTCTGAAGATGCGGCCACAGAGACTGGCAAAACGTCAGGAAGAACAACCTTCAGAACATGGCCAAAGAGCCCGAAAAACCCACAACAACCATCATCGTATCTACTTGAAGGTTCCCCTTCAGAGCTTACCCTGATCTTGGACCTGCCCATGTGAAACTTGCATTGCTGATGGTGCCTGGGAGAAGGCATTGAGGACGGCCAGCCCCCCATCCGTGAGGCCTGAAGTTGGCGCATACATCACTGTATGAGAGCTGGGGTACATCATGTGGCCTCCTACGGTGGTTGGCACTGATGAAGTCATGATGGTAGCTGGCAAGGTCACTGGCAAGACAAAAAGAAAGGTAGGGGAACAGAGTTCAAATCAAAGGCATTGCATCAGCTGTGCCTCAGTCTCCCATGCAGCAACCCTTTAAATTAATTATATGATTTCCTTTAAAGGCAGAATTGGAGGAACGGTTCACAACTATATAGCACATGGTGTAGGGGCAGGCATAGGAAACCGCATCTATTGGGCATTTCATTGGTGTTCCAAGGTAAGTTTCTGAAAAAATTCAGCTGCCCCCCCAACCCCAAATGTGGCATTAACAAATGCACTCCTACACAATGGCCAAAAATAAATTATACATGTATAAGGGAAATGACATCAACAGCAGGGAGAAACTGATACTGATTAAGGAGTTCCTGCCTTGATCACAGAGATTAAACAACTTGTCCACAATAAGGCTGATGAAATGCAAGCCTCAGGACTGAAAGAGGAACTCTTAATTACTAGCACCATCCAGCAGGATGAGATTTCAGGAGGAACTCTTAATTACTGGCAATCTCTCCCTGCCACTAGCACCATCCAGCAGGATGAGATTTCAGGTAACTGAAAAAGTTCCTGGGTCTATTTCAGGATTGGAATGGCTCTCATGCGATAAGCCTTATTGCATACAGGTCATGAGACTCGTGGGATCTACAGTATGAAGTACCCTGCCAATATACCGTCACCATGACATAGATGAAATAACCTGGAGATAGAAACTGGTCAAATTAGAAAACAACCACAACATTCTGTACCTGAAAAAGGGTGGTACAGGAATATTTTGAAGTCAGTAAATATCCACTGGCCCCACTAGATGGCACACACATGACATTATATTAGGAGATAAACTTTCCTAAAACTTTTCATGGAGGTTCTTTTGCTTATCAGCATCGCTTAGAAAGAGGCTACTGAACATAAAGGAAACAGTGTCCAGGGTGAGATTAACTTAGAAAAAGGACCAATTATTTTAGATAGTTGTCCTGGGAAACGCAAGAAGATCAAAAGACAAGGCATACTTCTCAAGTTGGAAGAGATCTTGGAGGTCATCTACTGACAATTCTCTGCTCAGTGCAGGGTCAGCGGTCTTGGAAGCAACGACAGCCGCTCATGTATACGGTTTTCAAATGCCTCCAGCAATCTCTTTCTCTCTTAGCACTGTCTTAGTTGCTGGCATTGGCTACTATCATGGCGTATCTCCACTTCTCTCTCACTGTGCGAGTCAGTTATTCTTAACTAGGGCCCAGACAGTCTCTGATGTTACTCAACCAAGAAATCCATTGTCTTCCACCTCTACCCTCAATAACGTACTGTATTGCGGTATATGTATCCTAATAAACAATGTGTTCGCGATATGAGAGCTCGCCTTTTTTTGTAATCAACTCTACTTTTTCTTTTCCTATCCAATCATCATCATCATCACAGAATTGCAGAGTTGAAAGGGAGCCTATGGATCAATGAGTCCAGCCCCATCAAGGAGGCAGAGTGGAGGATCGAACTCCCAACTGTATAATAATCTTTTTATATTTTATTCATGTATTTTATGTTGTAAGCCGCCTAGAGTGGTCGTAACTGACCAGATAGGCGGGATATAAATAGAATAAACAAATAAACAAACAAACAAACTTATGGCTCTGCAGCCAGATACTCAAGCCACTTAAAGGCTTGGAACTAACGGAATACGTATTGGATCAACAGATGAACCAGTACAAACCGTCAAAGTGGCGGTTCGTGCCCATCTCTATACTGATTTCATCTCTATTTATCACCATTGCTTTGGAGAGGTTTTTTTTTTGCATTGACTGACAGTTCTATGCTATTATGTTCTTCTGCAACTCATTCTAACAGTATCTGATGATCATCTTACCTTCTGACTATCAGGACTGTGTCATCACTGTATCTTATACTATTTACTTTAATGCCCTCAGGTTTATCTTGAAAAGCATTTTGCATTACCTTTTCTGAATAAATATTAAACAAAACTGGTGACAAGACAGATATTTGATTGACTCTTCTTCTAATTTCTATGCCATTTGTTAACTCTCCATCTATTTCAATCTCAGCTGTTTGTTCCCAGTGTAAGTTCTTTATTATATGTGTATCATTTCCATCAATATGTAGTTGACATTAATATTTCTATTAATTTACAATGCTGAACATTACTGAATACTACTTCAAACTCAGTGAAGCTTATATATAGATCCTAGCTTACATTCAAGCCCTTTTCCATTAGAACTATTAAACTAAGGAGAACTTATTTTGTGCCCACTCATGACCAAACTGTGTATTTATATTATTCTCACATTTTATTTTAAAATCTTTCATTTGACTAATTACTTCATAGTTGTTGCACATTTCTGCATTAGCTTTTTTTAGAATTGTCAGAAATATTAACCACAACAATTCTACAGGATTTTTTCCTTGGTCAGATATCATCTTAAACAACTGGAACTTTAAACTTTAACTTCATTCAAATGCCTCCAGCCATGGAGATCCCATTATGCCTTTGAGCATTCTGTTTCACTGGTGAATAGTGGAAGCAATCTGTTCTTTTGCCATTAGGGAATTTCTCCTGATGTTGAAGAAGAAGAAGATCTAGTAACCTCTTGAAGAAGCCCACTTCCAGTCTAATCATTTCAATATTTTAATTTGTTGAAAATTTATTTACATTCTATATGTGTCCATAGTTTGTAAATTGTGCAACATGCTGATACAAATAAAGAAAGAATTCCCTGCAATTTCCTTGGATTGTTTCCGCATTCCCCTTTGGAAAAACACAGACGCCTGCTCCATTTTCACTATGACAGTTCTTCAGATAGTTGAAGGCAGTGGATATGCGTGTATTTCACTGCAGTGCAGAATTGGCAGGATAAAATTGAAGGGATCCAGGACTTGCAAAGGCTAGAGTAGGCTTTCTCATAAAAAATAAATAAATAAATAAATAAACAAACAAACAAACAAACAAACAAATAAATAAATAAATAAATAAAGTGTTTGGGACTACAATTCCCACCAGTCCCAGCTCACATAAGTTATCTGTGCCGGTAGAAGTACAAAGCATCTGGAGTTGAAGTAAAGGGAAAAGGGGACCATTTACCTGTCCCGCTGGAAGATGTCTGGGTGAGGTCAGTACTGCTATCGCTCGTAGGAGACGTCTGCTGCGGGGCCTGATGCACCTGGATGGCTTGCACAGGAACTTGCTGAGCCACTGCGCCACCTGGGAAAAGAGGAGAGTACCTGTTAAATTCCTAGCTCAGCCTAGTTCAGTTCAGTTCCAATCACAGCTTGGAAAACCCATTTTTATGGATTAAAATGTCCAGAATCCTGCTCTTGTGGACTGCAACTCCCAAAATCCCCCAGTCAAAATGGCTGCTATCTATGTTGGCCTGAGGAATTTTGGTGCTGCAGACCCAAAAACAGTGTCTCCAAACAGGTCACTGGCAAAATTCATTCCAAAATTTGTCAAGGCAATGTGTCGTAATCACAATACATAACAGAAACTTATTCACAATGACGTTCTAAGAAGTTCATATTTATAGATCACCCGTCCATGCACTAGGCACTCATAGGAATATACAAATTCAGCCAAAAAAAGCACCAAAAACAAATCATAATCATAAAAATAAAAACAAAAGCCAAAGAACTCATCACAATAGAAACAGAATATTTATTTATTATTTATTTTATTTATATCCCACCCATCTAGACCAAAGTCTACTCTGGGCAATTAACAATAAAAATGGAATAAAAACAGTATAATAAAATTAAAAAAAACAATAGTAATATAGTTCAAGATGGGGAAAAGAAAACAAAATTAAAGTGAAAGGCATGCCCTTGTGCACATATATGTACACATAGCCTTGTGCTGGTTGGTTACATTGGAACCATCTCCTAGCCCTTGGTGTGTGACATTCTTTCAGAGGTTGGAGAAGTACATGTATGGAATGACAACCCAGAACCCTTCCAGACAGCATAGTCATAGACCAGGCTGGTCCTGGCATTCTAGGAGACATGCTCCCAAAAAGTCACTTTCCCAAACTCTGTGTTCTTTCTGAATAGCCCTTTCTGCCTGATAAAGGAAGAAGAAGAGGAAATGAAGAAGAGTGGGATGCAGAGACCATCTTGTGGGGTTGTAATAAGAAGCGGATGGTAAATCAAATGAAATGTCGTAGCTTTGACCACACCAAAATGTAGCTCAAGGAGAATGAGAGATACTTCAAGATAGGGACGCAGCTGGGTGATTCACCAAAGATGGAAGTAAGCAGTGTGGACTACTGATGCTACCTGAGTTTCCATAGTAAGTGCCGAATCAAGATGTACCCCCAAGCTGCGAACCTCAGTCTTCATGGTGAGAGTAACCCCCCTCCAAAAGTGAGGGAATTTCCCATACCACCAATGTCTGGACCACCCACCCTCAGGACCTCTGTCTTGTCCGGGTTCAGCCTCAGATCATTTGCCTGCATCCATCCCAGTAGGGCATCCAGACAGTACTGAAGGGACAGAACGACATCCACTGCTGTAGCTTACTGATGACACAAAGCCCCACACCCCCTGATGTCCTGACCCAGCGGCCTCATGTAGATATTAACAGCATTGGGGAAATAACTGAGCCCTGCAGGACCCCAAATTAAGATTCCACGGAGCCGATACACTCTCTCCAAGCTATATTCTCTGGGAACGGTCCTCCAATAAGGATCGGAGCCAGGCTAACACCAGACCATCAGTTCCCTGCTCAGAGAGCCTACCCAGGAGGATACCATGGATGACGGTATTGAAGGTGGGCTGAGATATCGAGAAGGACAAACAGAGACAATTTGCCCCTGTTCACCTCCGTCATCAAACAGTGCGACCAGTGCCGTCTCCGTACCGTGGTGCGCCCTGAAGCCCAACTACCATTCAAAACTGCTGAACTCCTGATGGAACAATATAGCTGTGACTTATCTGTTCAAAGAAGAGGCCAACCCCACATCCTTCAATTTAAAAAGACCTGTCTCAAGTCTCCATCAAGTTAACTTATTTTTAACATACATCACTTTCCACAAAAGACTGTTACTGATAGGCATGCCCATAAGAGAGGAGGTGATTTTACACTGATCTACAAGAAACACATTTGCTTGCAAAATGCATATGGAATTAGACACACAAGTTACAGATTATATGACACTGTCACTTGAGCAATTATAAACAGTGTTCTAAAGTTCCACCCACTTCTAAGCAGTTTTCAAAAAACCAGTTAAGATTTTTTAAAAAAATGTTCCCAACTAATTTGTCCCATTTTGTCAATGGGGGTGTTATTTTTCCAGCCAATAGACTTGGACAAAAATGTCCCATGATTTTTTTGGTGGGCCAAGATGCTGAGAAGCAGATATGGTATATTCTGGATGTCAGTAGATTGACTCTATTTGGAGGAAACATTAGAATTCTCAGTAGGTTGAGCAAATATATATCCTGCTGGCACTTAATTTAACACTAACCATTCTGTTAAAATATCCCCTTGTCTATTAGAAGGAGATATTTTAATATTAAGGGTCAGAACATAACCCAAGAATCACTAGATTTTTTAAAATCTGGCTAGATTAGGATTAACATAAGCAAGAGAAAAGAAATTCAAGAGAGTCGTGAATCATCAGGCTGTGAAAATTCTGTTGCACTGGATTGTGAATTCAGATGTGCAATCAGCTGAGCAAGTGCATACACAAACACTGGCATAACTGTTTGCACAAGCATTTTAGAGACCATACTTGTGCTGATTCTAAAAATATGTAACAACCAGTTTTGCACTGACCCAATGACATTACTGAGCACACTTCAAATGGTCTTAATAGCGTAAAATTAATTTGCCATATGAAATGTAAGCCAACACACTTGTAAAGCCTTACTTTAACATTTTTTTAAAAAAAATCCAGTACAATGACTTGGTTTATTTATTTATTTATTTATTTAGTTTTAAAAAAAGAATCTAGTACAATGACTTGGTTTAGACAGGATAGGATCCTTTGCAGGACAAATTCAATTGTGACAGCCTGGTCAGCTTCTGGAAAGAAGGGAGTACGGAGCACCCCATCTCAACTGCCTTAGGTAGCAAATTGTCTTGAGGAAGGCCTGCCCACCAACATTTCTTCAGGGCTTCTAATATAAGAACCCAGTAACTTGTCAGATTTCTCCATGAAGCTGTTGAGCTTACTGAAGCTGATGCCATGATATATGAGGCAAGCTTTAAGGAGTCACAGGACCCTGCTGTTTCCACTCTAGCACATTAATAAGCCTACATTTTCTGGGTTTTCCAACTTAAGAGGGCTTCTTTGAAGGCCTTCTCAAAGCAAAATCTTTAATTTCCTCTGCAAATCTGTGCATGCTGGTGTCACTAATGCTGCCATTACTAGCTTGTTTTCCTGAAATAGAAATCAGTTACCTTTTACACAATCATTTCACCATTCCATACTGAGGTCCCGTGCAAGAGTAAAGGATGCAGATGTTTTGTCTTTCAAGAAGTACAGTCCACAGTTGCTAGCTGGATAAATTTCAATCACTGAGGGTCTGGAACCAGCACAGCCTCCTCGATTGCTTGCCTGCCTGACAATCACTCTTACAGTATCTAGCAAGGGACAGTTGACCATCTCGATCCAGGAGGTTAAATGCCTGTTTCTCCAAGGAAGTGTCACCTGTAAAAAGAGTAGTTCTGCTGCCCCTCACCAATACGGCCTCTCATTTGCCCTGAAGATTGTTCCAGCTGGTCACTAGCATAGCCTCCTTGGACAAGGTGTTGCAAGTGGATGGTTGTTGTGGACTCCCAGAGGCCCCTCCATCCACATCAATCCCGTTCCCATCAGGGCTTGCCACTGAAACAGCTTTAGTCATCCAGAAAGATGAGCTGCACTAAGGATAGAGCAGGGGAGTTTGCACCGTCTTGCAAATTCTCCTCGACTCCTCGGTGTCTTTTAATATCACTGATTGTGTCACCCTATGGGAGTGCCATCTGAGGTGAGGATCAGGAGGTGGGATATCTGTGATTTAGTGATTCTGTGCTTATGTGGGCAGCTCTTTGAAGAGGCAGTGGGATTAGTACTGCATTCCATTCCCTCTGTGCTACAGCAGCCCTCCCCACAATTGTGATCTGATATTTTAGGACTAAACAAAGGCTACATACACAACCTGTGATCCTCCAGATGCAACTGGACTTCAGATTTCATTATTCGTCACCAGTAATGGTGCCGGCTACAGCTCATGACAGCTGTGGTCCAACAACATCTGGAGAGCTAGAGATTAACCACTGCTAAACCAAATTCTCACTATTTCTAGTCACTGTGGTTGGTGACCCTTGAGAAGGCTTTCTATGCTGTGGCATACCAAGTCTGGAACTATCTTCCAAGGAAGACTGAACTAGCACCAAACGTCTCCTCTTTGCAAGGTCACATAAATATCTTTTTACTCATCCAGAGCTCTTCTGACCTGTATTATTCCATAGTAATTGGAGTAACACTGGTCATTTAAAAAAATGTGTCATTTAAAAAAATGTGCATAGCTATTTCAGTCTCTTCATATGCCATTCTGGGAACCTTACCAGCTGAAGTGCAAAATGGTAACTGTTTTTAATTATTAGTCAGTTATCCAGTTCTTCTTCTCATTCCTCTCCCACTGGAGGCTGGATGTCATTGTGATTATTCTAACTTTGCACACTGCAGCTCGAAAAAGTGATGTTACGTTGCTTCCAAACTGACTCCAATTTTTTCAGCTAATCTTCTCCTTCCTTGTACTTCTCCACAAAAATCATTCTATCAAGTATCATACTAGATAGTTTGTATTTTTAACAAATTGTACACTGCCTAGAGAACGTTGGTTATAGAGTGGCTTAATAGTGCATTAAACACCTCAACGAAATCAGTCCTTTCCAGCATGGGTCCCCAGATGTTCTTGGACTACAACACCCAGAAATCCTAGCCAGCATAGCAAGTGTTGAAGGCTTCTGGGCACTTTACTCCAAGAACATATGGGGACCCAAGTTTGGGAGCCAGCACAGTAACTGTTGAAGGCTTCTGGGCGCTTTACTCCAACAACATATGGGGACCCAAGTTTGGGAACCACTGAATCTGTCTAGATTGGCATGCTGTGTTTTTAAGAATTGTCAAAATAGCAAGATAGGGTGAAAGAGACTGAGAAGTGCCATCACGCTGACAACAAATAAACAGGCATGCTAACACATTGGCTAGGGACGTGGTG